AGGTCATTCTTAACTACATAGTTTCAAGCCAGCCTGGGGCCTTGTCTCAAAAACAACAATGCCAGGCATGGTGGCAGGCGGATCTCTGTCCGATTGAGGCCAGCCTGGTCTAAATAGCAAGTTCCAGGCCAGCTGGGGTTATGGGGAGACCCTGTCTCAAAAAGACCAAAAGTCCTAGCACCAAATCCTTTTAAATTCCGGGTCCTTTTAGTAAGATGATGCTATATAGCAGTCCCTCATGCATAAAATAACTACCATCATCACGACTTTGGCTGAGCCTGATCACTAAACAGTCAAATTGGGCTTCCTGAGGGTTGTGCTCATTCATTAGAGTGCCAAGCAGGGTCACTGGACCCTCACCCGAGTATCCAGGCACTCTTCCCAGCCAACTAGTCCAGCCTTGGAAGACAAAAGAAAAATGAGGAAGAAACCAATAGAGGGATGCTTTTGGGAGCCCTTGTCAAGAAATTCCAATGGATTTTCATAAGAACATTTGAAAATTGCACTGTTCTGGCTTTTTTCTAGTTCCCTGTCTAGAACTTGTGATGCTAATTATTCTTGCCTTTACTTCTTCACAGCTGCTATTCAGGATTCAAGGATTTTCTTTTCCCCTTAGAGATAAGAGTTATGCAATTTGGGAGTCTTTTAGATAGACCCACTGAAGGGGTACTACAATTGCCTCACCCTGCATCCCTGTTCAACATGGAAGAAGCCAGAACAGTTGGCGTCCCTATTCCCTTTTGGCAATTTGGGTAACCCTTTCAGAGGATGGTGTGATAAGAATAGGAAGTAGGAACTGGCTAGGCAGTTAGGGTAAAAAGTCTCCAAAGAAATGTAGCCAGTTCTTGGCTAAAAATCAAAATGTCCTTGGGCCTGTTAGCAACATACTCTTTTCCAAAGGCCAAAAATGTCAACAAAAGTATTTGGGAGCTTGTGTCTAATCCTTAAAAAATTTTAGGGTTACCTCTTCAGAGGGGGGAATGTTGGAGGGAGGGAGTGGGCATGGATTTGATCAAAACACCTTATATACATGTATGAAATTCTCAATAAAGTTTAAAAAAAAACCAGAAAAACAATATACCTGAAACCAAATCCTGAATCCATCACTCTAGAGTCCAGCTTTGGAAGATAAGAGAAAACTGAGGAAGAACCCAACAGAGGGATGCTTTTGGAAGCCCTTGTCAAGAAACTCCAATGGACTCTTATATGAACATCTGAAAATTGCCCTGTCCTGACTTTTTTTCTAGTTCCCTGTCTAGAACTTGTAATGCTAATTACTCTTGCTTTTACTTCTCCTTCACATCTCCTATTCATAATTCAAGAACTTTCTTTTCCCCTTAGAGATAAGAGTTATGCAATTTGGGAGTGTTTTAGATAAACCCACTGAAGGAGTACTCCAATTGCCTCACCCTGAATCCCTGTTCAGCATAGAAGACGCCAGAGCAGTCTGAGTCCCTGTTCCCTATTGGCAATTTGGGTAACCCCTTCAGAGGATGCCGTGATAAGAATAGGAGGTAGGAATTGGCTAGGCAGTTAGGGTAAAAAGACCCCAAAGAAAAGTAGCCAGTTTCTTGGCTAAAAGTCAAAATGTCCTTGGGCCTCTTAGCAACATACTCTGTTCCAAAGGCCAAAAATGTCGAAAATATTTGGGAGCTTGTATCTAATCCTTAAAAGATTTTAGAGTTACCTCTTCAGAGGGGGGGAATGTTAAAGTAGCAAAAAAGCCTCATAAAAATAAATAAATCAAAGAAGAAAAAAAGAGGAAAAAGTGATGGGGAGACATGAGAGGTGTTAGAGGGGAAGGAGTGGGCATGGATTTGATCAAAACACCTTATATACATGTATGAAATTCTCAATAATGTTTTGTAAAACTTAAAAAAAATAAGAAAAAGGGAAAAACAATGCCTTACTTATAGGTAGGAAACTAACGTGCCTAACATCTGTGCTCTTGCCCTGAAATAATAGCCAAAGTAACTATTTTTAGATCTCCTCAAAGATTAAGCAATAGGTGCTGTTTGGTTAATCGTTTTCAATTGAAGCAAATGTGAGGCATAAGTTATATTGGATAGAGCTGAAACCCTATTCAATAAATCTAATTGGTACTGGGTTAAAAAAAAAAAAGTAACCAGGGCTGTTAACTGCTCAGCTATCTCTCCAGCCCCTCTTGAAAGGCTTTACACCCCTGGGAATGGTGTCAGAGACATTTCCAAAAGGCCTCAATAAACCATGTCACCAGTGAGGTCCAAATACAGCAGTGGCTTCCAGAAGGACAGAAAAGGAGGCACAGCTAGAAAGTCCATAAAAGGTTTCAAGGACAAAGAAGAGGGAGAGATGTTTAGCACTCCTTAGGAGAGGTAAGGAAGGCATTCCAGAGGAAGAGTTGATGTGACTATATCCACTGGCAAGAAAAGGAGAACAGTGAGCCCTGTGGAGTGGAGGATGAGGAATTCACAGAAGACTAGCCTGGAGATGCATGCTGGGATTGTAAACACTAAGCAACAGAGTTCCTACCGAATTATGCAAGCCAAGGACAAGTCTCAGGTGGAGTTTCATACTGGGGCTAATAACTAGTATTCCTCTGCTGAGGATGGTCACTGCCCTGGTTTCAACTCAATGCATATGGGTGTGGAGAAGGCACTCCATGAAATCATGAAATAGTCATTGCTGTGGCTTTAGCAAGCCTTGCAGTTTGAGGTTAGAGGAGAGACAGGCCAAGTGGAGGCTAGGCAGACACTTAAAAGCACAGTATACCCTGTTAGTCTTCACAAAGTGTCCTGACTTCTAGCTCCACTGAGCCTATAAGCCTCTAAATGACAGGAATAAGGGCCTCTTCGTATCTGCACAGTCCAGGTCTAGCTAACATATATCCAGTAGATGAATGTGCAAATGAATGAATGAGCACCTCTGTCCTGCATTAATTGCCCAAGATGTCTCTGTTATAAATTCTCATAGCACTGCACAACTTGGGTTCGTATTGTTCCTCTTCTCCCGCCCATATTTTACTCACCTCAGTCCTCCCTCCCTGACAACACCAGCCCACACTCTTCCCAGACTCTGATTCAGAGTCTGTGCTGCATAATTTAGGTGTCCTGTATTCCTCGCAGCTGTTTCCTGTGTACTAGTCATTCAAACTCCTTACTTAAATGATCACATCCCTCACAACACTTAGAATATATTGACTGTGGGTGTTGTTACAGGAGTAGGGGGCAGAAACAGATGTCAGTGAGTGTTGGGCACAGTGGTGGTGCCATGCACACAGTCCCAAAGTGCCTGAGTAACGTATCCTGGTGAAGGGAAAACAGCCAGGCTAGTTGTACTGTCTGAAAGTCTTTGACACTGAGACTCAGAACCTCTGAGCACAGAAGAGGGTTTGCTCTGTAGCATGAAGGATAGATGGATGTGAAATGAAACACCAGACTTTATTACCTCCATGGGCCAAGAGGACTCCTCCGAAAATCCTTAAATACAGAGGGGATCATCTGTCCCGGAAGCTGTGGCTACAGGGTAAGCCAACCTTCTGAGCAGTGACAGGTGCAGAGTCCCTCCCTGTCCTTGTCAGAATTACAGAAAAGAAAGGACACTTTGGGATGAAGTGTCTTAGAGGAAGTTATTGACTTTTTGCTTTATGATCTCCTGGTATAGTGAGCAAGGTTCAGGGAGATTAGCTGACTGCAGGTAGAACGATGCTCCTGTATAAAGAAATAAAGTAGATTCTCATTATCGCCCAGCTCATTTCCCCAGGAATTATGTATTCTATGGTCAGGTAATGACCTCAAATCTTTTCACCTACATCCAGTAAAAGGCTGACACTGTGCCTTCTGCTTTAGACTGTGTACTCTTTGCAGTGATTAATGCTTCTTGTAGTGATTAATGCTGTTTCCCTAACTAGGCTGTCTGGGGTGGGTGTCAAGCCCAATTATTTCTCTAGGATCTCTTGACAGAAAGTGCTCAACATATGTATGAATAACAACTACCTTCACACAATAATTTGCAAGTACTGTTTCCACACCGTTTCTAATTTAACCCTTTCATCAACCCTGTGAAGTAAGTACTCTGATTAAATCCCATTTTTCCAAATAAGGAACCCTATGCTCAGAGATCTTAAATGAAATATTCAATGTCATACAGCCAGAAAGGGACAGTTCTTTGTAAAATACTTCACTACTTAAATGAACAAACTATATGACCTAAAAGAAAAGAAAAAGGTTAATTTCTTTGCTCCTAGAAAAAAGTACCTGCTTAGTACCCATCACCCCTACCCATTTTTTTTATGCCATGGAGCAACCTAAACCTTATTTCGGGGTCAGGCAGACTATGTACATGATGAATAAATGTATGTGGATGCTGTGTATAGCGTCAACGGAAGGCACATAAGGGGTGGAGAATCTCATTCACTAATCTTATCTAGTGCAGGGTATTGGAACCCAAGACACCTCTGATTTGCCTTCGTAGGACTTAGAGTCCACTGCAAGGAACAAACGCAAAACAACTTAACAGTAAAGGAATCACAATTTTGTTAAATGCTACTGAAAATGTATGGCAGGGAGCTCAGCTCTGGCGGGAAGAGCGATTTCCAGCCCGAGAAGGGTGGTCTCTTGGTCAAGGCAGACCCTTTTAGACAGACTCTGCAAGAAGTCAAGATAGATGAAGAGTGAAGGGAAGAGGGGAATTATTGCTTTTCACAAATAGAACTGCATCTAGAGAACCGCAGCTCTTCCCCGCTGTCTCGATTCCTAACTGTCTATGAAAAGTGGGAAAGAAAAGTGAAGGCAAGAGAGACTCCGGAAACCTGTGTATGCAAACAGGGCTTGGGAAAAGCAGCGGACCGCAGCGTTAAACCAGGCTGGAGTGGGAGTGAAGGGGTTAAAAGGGGGGGGGGGGGTCCGGAGCTGCCCGGTAGTCCCGCCCACCAGAGGGCGGGGCGGAACGGCTCGGAGTGCGCGCCGTGATTGGCCGCGGGGAAGGCGTTAAACTAGGACCGTACCAACAGCCGGGCCGCGCGGAGGCCGGGGTGGGTGTGAACGGCCGGCCTGGCTCTCGGAGAGGGGCCTGGGAATGGCCCGGTCGGCGGTGGGCGGGAGCCGCAGAGGCGGTGGCGGAGGCAGGGGGCGGTGAGCACGGCGTGGAGCTGCCCCTCCCCGGAGGCGGCGGTGGCGGCCGGGGCCGCACCGCACCGCACCGCACCGCGCGGGCGGCTATGGAGCGAGCCTGAGGCCCCGCAGGTGAGCGGCCCTCCTGGGGGCGGCGGCGGGAAAGCGCGGGCGGGGAGGCGGTGTCTGGGGGCGGGACGCCTCCCTGACTCGCCGGACGCCGGGCTCCCGGGCGTCAGGCTACGGAGGCCGCGGACCGAGGCTGTGGGGACCCCCGGCCCGGGCCGCATGTCCCTGCGCACGGCTGAGGGACGCGGCCTTGGTTCTCCGGAGGCGCGGGCCTTACCTGGGGCGGCCCGCAGCCCTCCTGGCGACCGGTCCTCGCTCCCGACACGGTCCCCCGAGGCTGCCTCCCGGTGCCGCCCTCGCGTCCTGCTGAGCCTGTGGCGGCGACCCTGCGGGGAGCGCGCCCGCGCTGGGTCCCTCCCGGGCCCGCCTGGTGGCCGAATGCGCGGGTGACCTGAAGGCCGGAGGCCGGAGACGGCAGCGGTTCCTCCTGGTCCATGCGCCGGGCGCTCGCCGTGGAACACAACTTAAGGACATGGGACTGTGGTCCAGAGTGGGTTGTGCTGGCGATATCATTTCCGGGTGCGATGCCCCCCCTCCCTCCGCCCCCGCGATTAAGAGCGAACCTAGAGGTTGCGGTTAGTGATAAATGTGGACACTTGTCAACCTGTGTCCTTGGTTGTGGGGTCTGATGAGAGATTCATTTTAATCGGGTGTCAGTTATCTGTCAGGCTCCTGGTAAAAAGAGGATAAGAGAGACCAGGCATTTAAGGTCATTATGCAGTTAGTTGATTTCAAGAGCATTAGGATGGGTAAGGAGTTTACAGTTTGGGAAAAGGATACGCTTAATACTGCCACTTGGGTCTAGAGCTTGGTGTCAGGGTCATCCCTAATTCAGCCGGTTTACTTTTGGAGGTTTGATATCTCAGCTTGGAAGGAAGATAGAATGGAATCTTTCAGTATTGGAATCTAGGATTTTATAATATAGTCTGTAATCAGATAAAGTCCAGATTGCATTTATTAACCTGTCATACTTGTGTTGTAAATTCATGCATACATTTCACTGGGCTACTGTCTGTTGCAAACATTACTTGAGTTTATACAGGACCTTTGAGCCAAGGTGAAAGCATGTTACTTATCATCCTGAGAAACTGAGGTGCACTTGTTACAGACACTAAATTATTTATGTAGGCCCAGAACCAATCTAAGGTGAATTTAAATTATTGTATTAAGTTGATAACTTTTTCACAGTTTGTGAAGATGTTGGACTTTGGCCCTCAGAACCAGCTGTAATCAGGCAACTGGAGGCCCTCCGTCCTTTGAAAGTACTTATCAAAGGAGAATAAGAAAGGGATCCACAGGTAATTCAGACACCCAGCCTCACTCACAGAACAGAACAATAATGAAAATGGATAGAGGGAAAGGATAAATCTGAGATTTCATAGCTTTCCTAATGAAAATGTGGAATTGATTTGCTCTGGAGACAGGGTCTCACTGTGTAGCCCTAGCTGGCCTGGAACTCATTATGTACAGGGCTGGCATTGAATTCACTTTGGTCTGCCTGCCTCTGCCTCCCTAGTGCTGGGATTAAAGGTGTGTGCTACCCCACTGCCCCCCCCCATATACTTTGGATTAGGGAAAAAGCAAGTCACGATTTTTATTTTTCATAATCCTTCATGCCATAGAATTATGTTGACAGTTACTTACTTTTAACTACTTCTCTTGGTTTCCATTTATAGATTTCAGCTTTTTCACACAGCCTTAAAGCTTCTGTTGTTTTTAAAATCTCTTCTGAATTTTCACTTCCTAAATGAAATTCCTGTTTCTTTTACTTTCAGGACAGACATTAGCTTTCTAAGTACTTCATTTGACCAACATTTCAGTGCTGTAAACTGAACCAGAAACTGCAGCCCTTAAACTGATAGTTATTTAAAATAGCTAACCACAGTGGTCATGTCATTGATGAGTGCTATGATCTCATGACAGGAGACTGCTGTTTACAGTCTGTGATCACAGTTACAAACAATAAAGAGACATGGATGTCAGGTCATTCTGTGATTGAGACCGGTGATTCTCTGGGTTGGGGAAGAGAATACAGTTACAGTGAGATCCTGCAGTTTGTTGTAATATGTAGGGTGTAATAGTTGTAGTGCACAGTAGATGTGCATGAATTATTGGTTGGTTGATTTGAAACTAGTGTGAGGAAAGCAGAAATGTTCTAGTGGAAATACTAAATTGTTTAGTTCCCTTTTTTTTTTTCAATTGAAAGAAATAAAAAAAAGGCCAAGAAAATGTGTTTCAAATTCCTGTTAGAAATATACTTTTTTAAAGGTGGGTGCTGTTTGCTGGAGCTGTCTTGAGATTCAGTCCTGTGACTGATTATATGGTGTTCCAGCCACCTGCAGCCTGTCAGGCTCTGGTCAGGTAAAGCTACATAGACTTTGTTCTGCTGCCTGTACTGGCTAGCTGAGCAGTTGGATTGATAGCCAGTGCTTTCACATAAATAGAAGAATTTAGAGCTCTTGGTAATAACCAGGCCTCAGCAGCATTGACTCTGACGGTCCTCTTGTCCCTTATATTGGAGATGAAAGAGGAAGGTTATCTGCCCCTGATGTGTTTCCCCAGCACCTGTACATCTCTCCCTTTTCTTTTCCCTGCCTGTGTGTGGCTAAGGAGTTCAATAATGTGGGCCTGGGGTGCAGAACAGAAGTCCTTACTTTGCAACTGAAATTTGTTTCTGACTAACTTAATGTCAACATGGCAGCTAGAACTGCCTGGAGAGAATATAGCAAAGATCATCTGCTATGTGGTGATTACAGAAATTAATGGACTGTTCCCTGAATAATGAAAAAAAGCTCTTCTGATATGATCTTTCTTTCCAGAAGAAAAAGAGTGGCCTGTCTCTAGACCTAAAGTATCTTGGGAGTGCTTGAGGTAAGTGGTAGATGGTACAGAAAGAGATACTGTACTTTGGTGTGTTTTTGAGGTCTATACTTTGTGAGATGATAGTAGTTCTTTAGAGGAGACAGTGCTAATTTGGGTGCATTCTAAAAGGAGGCCAAGGAATATGAAATTATGAATGCATAAAAAGGAAGGAGACAAGTACAGGTTAAGGCAGTGAAGTCTATTTTTTCTGTGTTCTCCAACATTGACTTTCTTATGTGCCTCATTTATCTAATGTTGGGAAATAATGTACTATGTGCAAAATTCCCATTTTAGGTATACTTCTCTAGGTAAAATTCTTAGAATATATTGTATACTTTGTTTCTTCTTAAACAGTGTAATCTTCTTTATTGTCTCAAGGTTGGGATTACTAGCATCCATTACTGATCATAATTGAGCAAGGCTTCGAGGTTGGTGGAGAACTACAGGCTGTTTACCCCTCTGCTTTTTGAATTACTGAATGACCCTGTCTCTTCTTTTAAGGGTGTCTGGCCTTCGGTGGTGTAGAACTGAGGTCACTGTGCTTCCTGAGATTGAATTTAAGATAGTTAAATAGGCTTGTTGGATTCTGCAGATTCTTTGAGTGTTGGTATATGAACTTCGTAGCCACTATTGTGGCTGCCCAAAGGCATGGTCTGTTGATTTCTTGTTTCTTATCCTTGACTTGTATCCTGTTCAGGCGTATTTTATGTTCATTTAGTTCTTCCTGTAGAAAAAAGAAAACAGGCTGTAGAGATGGCTCAGTGGTTAAGAGCACTGTAGAGGACAGGGGTTCGGTTCCCAGAACCCAAATGGCTGCTAACAACCATCAGTAACTGCAGTTCCAGGAAATCTGATGCCCTCTTCTGACCTCCGTGGGTATTGCATGGTACAGGCAATACACTCATACACATAAAATAAATACATTAAAAAAAAAAAAAGAAAGCAGGGCTGGAGAGATAGCTCAATGGATAAAACTCTTGCCATGAAACCTTGAGAACCACAGTTCAGATCTCCAGCACCCACATAAAGGCTCAATGGGCCTGGCAACCTGCCTGTAATTCCAGCACTCCTAGGGCAGAGAGAGAATCCCCAGATAAGCTGGCTACCTAGACTAAATGATTGGGTAAGTCTCCAGGTTCAGAGAGAGACTCTGCTTCAGAAAATAAAGTGAAGAGTTATGGAGGAAGACACCACCAACCTCTGGCCTCTACATATATGTGTGCATACACACACACACACGGGGGGGGGGGCTTACCTGTATGCATACCACAGATATACATGGAAAAAGAAAACAATATGGAACTCCTAGTGTTGGTTCTTGTTTCAGAAACCATTGTCTGTAATACTTGAATATCTGTTTTCAGACCCGTCTTTAATACCCTGCCCCTACCCCTGCCCCTGCCCCAGCCCCTGCCCCTGCCTGAGTGCTAGGATTAAAGGCATGGTGTGCTTGCCTTTTTTGTTTTGTTTTTTATTTTGGTTTGGTTTGGGTTTTTTTTTTTGAATGAGAATGCTTTTGAAGAGTATATTTTATCCCTAGATTCCTTTGCTCTCTGCTTCCTGGCCACCATGCAGTGAGCATCTTTGCTGTACCCATGTGCTCCCTAGCATAATGTTCTGCCTCATTTTGGGTCCAAAAGCAGTGGAGCTGACTGACTGCACTGAAACCTCTAAAACCAAGAGCTGAAATAAATCTTTCCTTTTTTTATTGATTTGCTCAAGTATTTTATCACAGCACTAAAAGTGACAAAGACAGTCAAATTGAGACTCTGCTTCTTATGTTACTTTTAATAGACATTATATTTCTTCCAAACATCTACAATGCATGGCAAAAAGAAATAAAAATGGCATATAATTTTCATAAGTGTATTGGTCTAACAAAGATATTAGTAATCATTTACAAGTGTAACTTGACCTAACAGATTCTCAATCTAATCTTTATTCATGCATAATGATTAGTTTAATGTCATCATTCTCCCCTTCTGCAAGGATTATTTTTAGCTATATCTCCCCCCCCCCAGTATATTTAGCATCTCCAAAAGAATTACTAGGAGACAGAAGAATGGGGAATGTTGTACAATGGCCTCAAAATATAATTGCTCAAGACAGTGCCCTTTTTTTGTGCTGTGTTAGGTCAGTGTGTTTGTGTTCTCAGCTGGTGGGTTACTGTGCACATGGTATAGGCTGGGATCTCATGTGTGACTCTCTTCATCTAGGAACGCATCTGGGATTGGAATGCCTCTGATAGCTTCACTTACCTTTGTGGTATTTCAGCTGGAGTGGCCAGAATAGCTAGGTGTGTGCCAGGCCTCTCTTCATATAGATCACTCATTCGGTAGTCTAACTGAAGTGTCTTTACATGGTTGCCAGATCTAAAAGGAGTGAAAGTGGAAGCTCCCAGGTTTCTTAATGCCTAGACTAAGAAGTGGCACACAGTCACTTGCATGACTTTCCCTTGCTTGGTCAAAGCAAATTGCAGAGCCAGCTCAAATTCAGCAGGAGGAAAAATAGAGTTCACCCTTGATGGGAGAAATTGTTGATGTGTATCTTTGTAAACAGTCAGCAAGAAAATCTTAATTTCATATTTGGGCTAGTGAGATAACTCAGTGGGTAAAAAGGCTTGCCACCAGTCTCCCTGAAGCCACATTGTAGAAAGAGAGAACCAACCCCAGCAGGTTGAACTCTGACTTCCACACGTATCTTGGCATACATGCAGCTCCTCCCTTCATACACACAAAATAAATAAACGTTAAAAAAAAAACCCTAAAATTCAGACCTTATGAAGCTAGAGAGATGGCTCAGTGGGTAAGAGCATTGGTTGCTCTTGCAGAGGACCTGGGTTTGGTTCCCAGAACCCATGTGACAGCTAACAACTCCAGTTCCAGGGGATCCAGTGCCCTTTCTGGCCTCCACCAGCATTGCACGACACAAGTGTACTTACATACATGCAGGCAAAACATTCATAAAATAAAAATAAAAAAATTCAGATCTTACCACTTCTTACACATAACAAATCTTCAATTTTGCTGAAACCAACACTTATCAAAGAAGTTGGTAAAGGGGACCTTATATTTCCTACTAGGATGGGTGATAGGGAGATAGTATGTATAAATAGGATTACATACTAGCTATTTAATACATTCCACTCCTTTACCACAAATCTACTAGTTCTCTGCACAAAATGTCTTGCAACTGAACATTTATTTGTCTTGTGGTACTTTGAAGTCACAGGGCTTTCATTTATGTGGTAAGAACCTGATTTGACCATTGAATTGGCAGCATAGAAAGTGAAACTTAGGTTTACTTTTACTGATTTTTTTGCTTTTCATTGCTATGAATGAAAGTTGGGAGTAACATGAAGTTGTCAACCTAAATCAGAGGGACTCAGCAAGTAGTGTGGCTTAGAGCCTCTTTAGTGCTGTGACTTGGGAGACCCCCATTAAGTATTGGAGCCAGGTGTTCTGTCCTCAGCTACCACATACATGCATTTTAATTGCACGATTTATAGACTTCATTCCCAATATGTTCTTCTGTGTGTATTTTTTTCAGCACCTGCCAGATTCTTATACAGAGGACTTTATACTAAGATACCACTCTTTTCCCTCTCTGAATCTATGTATTTACAGTCATGTTTGTCCTTCTAAAACATTTATCATACATGCATGATGGTGATATGTTTGTATGAAGAATGAAAGTAAATGAGCTTCTGTAGCAGACCCCACATGGGCTGACAGAGTGAAATCAGGTTTGTGAAGGAAAATTCTTTATAAAGGCCTACTTTCCAGGGGCTAGAGAGGTGGCTCAGCAGTTAAGAGCACTGACGGCTCTTACAGAGAACCCAAATTTGATTCCCAGCACCCACATGGTGGTTAAAAACTCTCCGTAACTCTAGTTCCAGGGACCCAATGTCCTCTTCTGACCTCAACGGACATTACATGCCATGAGTGCACTTATACAAATGCAGGCTAATATACGCAAAAAAAAAAAAAGAATTTTTTTAAAA